CCACCGAGCATATACCTATATTCAGTTGAATCGATAGGATATCTGCTTAGGGCAATGACCAAGTCAACCGACAGTTACGTATAGAGTTAAGTAGAGCGCAGTCTCAAAGTCGATATATCCCGTAAAAAGCTAATTATTACAATAAATGCTGTTGCCGATTACGCCATCTGCTATGGTAATAATGCCGATAATGAGGCTAACTGTATTTGCCTGGTAGAGGCTAAAACTTTTAAGCAAGATGGCTTTGCCCAAGTTCTGGGATATATGGGTAAGACTGTAATTCTAGTGTTTATAGATAGACGGACTAACAAAACTATTAGCTGTAGTATTAGAAAGTAAGGAGCGCGCTGGTCGCGTCTCTAGAAACATCTGGGGCATTGCAATTAACTCCAGGGACTGGAGGTTCCTCCGGCTAGAGAAGGATAGAACCGTATGAAAATTCATTATAAGCGCGAAAGGAAATACCGTTTTAGTTGATAAACCCAGTCCTCATCTATTTTATACTCTACAAGGAATGGGCAACTGCCCGAAATACTGCATCTTTAAAGCTGTATAATCACTGAGACAGCGGTTCTGCCCCCACTATGTCACCTTGCTGAATTACAGGTAGCGACAACTTTTTCTTTGATCGCCTTGTTTGTATTTTTAAATGGCGTTTGTACTTCTTTTTAGTTTTTGGTATGTATTCATGGCATACTTCGATTGTATATCTTAAAACGAAGAGAATTCAAAACTCATGGACAAATGATGTCTTATTGAAAGAACATTCTATTATTTCAAAAATCTGATCCATCTTCATAGAACAAGAACTCATCAAGTCCCTTCCCAGCAGGGACCATAGGTAGAGTTAGCGCCTTTTTTGTGACCATAATCTCTAGGACCGCAGGTCCGCGAGTTTCCAACAGCCAGTTCAAATTGCTTTTGACATCAGCAGGCTCCGTGCATTTCTCGGCTTGAACGCCCATCGCTTGAGCTGTTCGAACAAAATCCGGGTTCTTATTGTGACTGTGCGCGAATCGACGCTCGTAATGGAGTGTCTGAATATTGGTCACCATACCCTGCTCCTCGTTATTGAGAATAATTGCTTTCACATCGATATTCGATCGGCTAGCTGTGAGCAGCTCGCTTAGAGTCATACTGAAAGACGCGTCTCCGTCGATGTCGATGACGAGAGCGTCTGGCCTGCCGACCTTCGCTCCGATTGCAGCTGGCAGTCCGAATCCCATCGTTCCCAGGCCTCCGGATGTGACCAATGTCCGGGGATATTTCCATCGAAAATGCTGTGCGGTCCACATTTGATGTTGCCCTACACCCGTCGTAATGATCGTGCGGTCTTTGATTGGGTCGATCAAATCGTTCAACTCCTCGATGACCTTTTGGGGCTTAATTAAACCGCTGTTTTTTCGACCTTGTTCGAACGCTTGGAATGGATATTTAGCCTTCCATTCATCAATTTTTGAATGCCACTCAGGCCGCTGGGCCGGTTGGATAAGCGGAAGTAACAACTCGAGGTTCTCCGCGCAGTCGCCCTCCACCGCTACAGTAGCCTCAACGACTTTATTGATATTCTTCGGCGAGATATCGAAATGAATAATTCCACCCCGGCCTCGCTGCTCAGCCCGTCGGGCCTCGGGCGCAAACTTTGGAATACTTCCGGTCACACGGTCATCGAATCGTGCACCAAGACAAATAATCAGGTCGGCATGCTGCATGGCCATGTTTGCGTAGCCAGAGCCATGCAATCCGAGCAGATGGAGAGATTTCGGGTCCGTTTCATCGAATGCTCCTAGTCCCTGGAGACTTGTGGTGACAGGGATCGAGGCCTTATCGGACAGTTCTTTCAGTAGCTTTGGTCCATGGGGTGATCCCAGCACACCATATCCCACGTAAAGAACGGGATTCTTGGCCATGTTAATAAGGTTCCCGGCCCGCTTAATCGTATCCATGATTTGAATCCTGCGAACCTCACGGAACGTATCCTCCACGCGAGTTGAAACACCCACATTGACGGTTGTGATTGGCAGAGGTGTTTCCAGTTTTCCGGTTGAGATATCTAACGGCAGCTCAATCAACACCGGCCCCGGGCGACCACTCGTCGCGATATGGAACGCCTCGGTGATACGTCGCGGCAGCTCTGAGACATCTCTCACGCTGACATTCCATTTCGTGCAGGGTTGAGTCATCGCGAGGATATTGGCTTGTTGCTCCGAGCTCTCCAGGTGCGTTGGGACCTGCCCACAAAACACGACCATGGGGGTCCCATCTGCCAAGGCATCCATCAATGGCGTAATCATATTCGTAGCCCCATATCCATTCGTGACGACAGCAATGCCTGGCTTTCCCGTCACTCTGGCGTATCCCTGGGCCATGTGTCCGGCTCCCTGCTCATGTTGCGGTATAATTCGCCGGAGCTGTTTCGATGCGTCTAGGGCGTTGAGGACGGGGAGGATGGTCTCGCCAGGATAGCCAACTAAATCAATAAACACAAAATCAGAAGGTCGAGATCTACTATAGACATTATAAATTGCAAGGGACAATGAACTGACAGAAGTCCTTCACACCGTGCCGAACAAGCATTTGTTGCACAATCTCTCCGCCCGTCGAGCCGATAAATCTATGGCCATTCGAATTAGTAACTCGAATAGGTAGAGCAGTGAGAAATAACCAACGAGTCATCCAGTTCAATCTTTCTCGGGCTGAAATTCTTTCCGGTTGTCCACGATGTTTGTGTCGTCGAGGAAAATGGTATGATCCTGTGCTTCGCTCTACCTTGGTGGTCAGTGCCTGCAAAACACAACAATGAGATTGTAACCAACCGCTTCGCTGACTGTGCTTTCTCTAAATCCGGAGACGAAATTATCGCTGGATCTATGACATCGTGACTTTCCGCCGGAGCGAACGCTTGTGATTGAAGAGAGCGCGCCGCAGTGCGTTGACAGACAGGACGCGCTCTAGTTGCAATATGTCGCAGAATGATGGATCGGAGACCAATTATTACTAGTTATATCGGTATGACAACCGAAAACAAATCTAAAGAAAGTGAGCAATTAAACCTCCATTCGATAATTTTGAACAAACTGTATTATCATTGGTATCACAAACCTGGGATAAAGTCTTGGGTTGGCCTAGAGCATTATAATCACCATCCTCTGACTGGATGACTCAGTGACGGTTGACTGTGCATGAATTACGGGCCCGATCTCGGGGAAGTCACCAAGCCATGTTTGACACTAAGCATGACAGGAAGGAACGTTGCTTGGCCGCGAAAACCCCTGTTAGTTGTTTATGACTGGTCATTGGAGAAAGGATTAACTATAGGTGACTCATTGAGTCATTAACTAATCCGAATATCGCCGAGGTACTATAACTACTAAGTACTGAGTGAAACCATTTAAGATATGAACCATTCCGAAGTGATTTGTGTGTTTGCTTTGAGCTGAATGGGATCTTTTAATACAACATCTATGAAGAAATATATACAGGACATCAGTTCATTGTGACTAAAGCAGACAATCATAGGGAATAAAAATGGGTTTTATGTCCACGGCGCGCAGTATGTTGCCACACACCGGGTGGTCCAATGCAGTAATGTCCTAGCCTAATTAGGCATTTTGCTACCTCATGCGGCGCAGCTTGTGGCCTGATCTTTCACGTCACGTGGGCAGTCAATCATTGTACTCACTGCACCATACCATACTCTTCTCCGACTCTCCGTGCTTCTTTCTTTTTCTTTTTCTCCACGCAGTCGCTGGGGAAGATCCAATACCACGAAATCTATTCACTATCATTCCTTTCTATTCGTCTCATCATTTGTGGGCCATATGGACATATTTGTTTACGTCAGAGGTGCTTTTTAAACCACGAAATATGTAATCGGACATTGTTACCTGAAGCCAGGGAGCTTCCCTGTACGGAGGAACGTTCCTCCGGAACGTTCTAGTTAGTATAGGATCAAGGGATCCTCCGTGGTAGGCATCCAGGAACATTCCTAGGTATCCTACAAGCATTCCTACCTGAGGCAAAGCCCCAGGCAGTATATAGAGCCCCTGGATCCTCCCTCCTAGAGTGCCTTTTCTCCCTATGGGAAAATTCTTTGACTACGAGTCATAAACAAACTTGTCTTTTACTAAGCTCCTTTGTAGACCGTCACAGACATGAACATCCTATCTACAGAACTAATAAAAACTGGTGGCTTTTCAGGGACCTCGTGCACCGCAGTAGTTAGAAAGATGGTGAAAGGAATGAATAATCAATCAATTCATGATTGATTATAAATTGTACGATAGGAAGAACCGACGTCTTCCATGGTGTTTCCTATGTACTGTAAAAGGTGCCTTAGAGGTAAGTACACGGCGAAATACTTGGCAGGTTGCCGCAGGCATCTAAACACCAATAAAAGCTGCATTTAAAGGCGATGAGTGGAATAGGTTCTCACAAGGTGAGCTGGGATGAGCTGGGATCAAACTAATACCGAGAACCAAGCTACCTGGCGTCCCCCTAGGCACTGCATTATTGAGCATTCTTGTACTGCAAGAAGTGCGAGGGAGAAGTAGGGGACTGGAACTCAAATTAAACTGGGCCAATCCGGATCAGATCCAGGTGCGGGATCTACCTTGCATGACATTTCAGCCGTGCTCAGCCCCCACAGTCTATTTCTTGTTTTCATCTCGGTTGGAATCAGAATGGCTTCTTCAGAGGCTGATATTATTGGATTATGAACCAAATAAAATATTCGTTTAAGAGATCAGCTAACCGATAACAGCATATTGGGGGCATGACATTCAATGTTTGCACACACTATTTCTTTTCACGTGGAATTGACACTATTGAAATATGTAGGTTTGCTTTTAGGACCACATAATCCATCGGTCACTGGTGATTATTCGACCTATTCGCCCACCTTTCATGGTAGGTCTGTTGAGCGGAAGCCATTGAGATCTATTTAAGGCAAATATCGACGGCATCGACATATGGTTAGAGCGAAGGATCAACAAGAGCATGATACCCGAACAGCCCGTGCAGCTCAATATAGACTCCTTGTTCAATGCAAGGGGTCATCCTTGTACGGATATTATCCATAACAATATCACACCAAAACAAAGCAGGGATGTTCTATGCTGATGATCATTTGGCAAGCTATAAAGCTCCTCCCATTCCGCAATTCTGATTCAAAGTCACGCAATAGTTCATAGTCTCACCTCCTGAGCATCTATACTTATCCAATATTACAAGATGAAGTTTACTCTTTTCTCTCTCCTCGCGGCTGCTTCCCTTGTCGCTTCTCAGGAACTCCCCGTCTGCGAATCTGGAGCCCTGAAGTGCTGCCGCGACGTTGTGCAGTACTCTGAACTGCCCGATTACGTGCAGGAATACTATGGCATTGACCCCGAGCTGAATGACGCGAACGCATGCTCGGATGGTGAGTCCTATTTAGATTTCAAACATTCAACTCCATCCCAATCGTAAGGATCGGTCCAGTATGTGTGATGCTGACTATTTCCCCTATTACAGGTATTGACCTCCTCAACGAATTCGACGTCGCGCGCTGCAGTGCTAACGGCGAGTCGCTGCAATGCTGCGGCGCGTTCGTTTCCGCTCGGCCTCCGGTAAGCTGCTTTCCATGCTTTTATAGCCAGACTGAATCGCTGATCACTTAATCACAACAGATCGAGGGAGAGAACATCATTCTCAACTGCGAGGACGTTCACCAATACTAAGAAACGGAGCCTACGGCATGGAATCGTCGCTCTGATTAAATAATGAGCAAGCTGGATAGGGACAGATTCGCAAATGAGTCTTGGCGCAAAGTTAGCGTGCATAAAATTCTCACGATAAACACTCAGGTATCTGAGAAAGTTGCGGTCCTGAGTTGTAGAGCGGCCTGCATGGAGGACAAGCTAATCTTAATTCAACGAGATAATTGTTGAGAAAGTCGTGCTCTCTGTTGCATACATGACAATGCGGATTGCACTTGAAGTATTTGAATTTCCACATCTTTTACATCTCTGCCCTTCTCAAACACGTAGCCACTTAGATAAAAAGAGATTGGCATAAAGCGTATTAGGCAAGACCTCTAGTTTTCTTTGACTGTCAACGATGGTAGGTTATGTTTCACCTAATTTCCGCAGAAGCTTAGTCACGGGCCTCTGCCCCCGAAAGTAATGTTAGCCAGTATCATACTAATAGTGCCTGCCGTCCGAGGGGGATCAAAGCGTAGTAGAGCTCCCCACCATTGATATGTTCCATACCAAAAATGACAAGTACTGGGGACCGTTTTGTCCGCGACACTCCGAAATCTTGGATGTCCAGTTCCTTCGGTCCCTATGTTCTCGAAATTCCCCCCAGCGGTTGTTGATAACCTTGCTAAGCCGTGGATTGAAGGTAGTACATCGTTGTATAAAATCCAATGATCGATGGGATTTATATTGAAGAAGTTTCGCATAGATAGCTATAGACACCAAACCCACGATGACCATGATATTTGCAAGACGCCAGTTGTCCCGTTTGTGCCCACGGTATTTGTGCATGCAGGCTTGTTTCAGACTTTTACAGAATACCTGGATACCTCGACCTCAGTGCGCCGGGTGATAGACACATATTTCGAACAAAAAACGCATCTCCATGTGCACGCCTGCTGAGGTATTTCTCGGTTGCTTTTAATTTCTAGACAATTGCATCTCGCCACTTAGTCCCAAAATTCAAGACATCTTGTCGAGTTCGCTCGATCTTGGCCTTGCGCAAACTGTAAATACATGCATGCCGATCATGTGTAAAGTCACGTTGCTTGGTTGCTGTAATAGCGCAGTAGCCCAAACCATTTCCTTAGGAAGACAAACAGTTCTAATATAAATAGCTCTATGTCCTGGCCTAAGTGATACTAACTATGGGTGGTCTACATAGTGTCTAACATCGCAGCCTTGTCCCTGGGCTGTACGAGTCGTAATGGCCTCCTATCACATAGACTGGTAGCTTGATCAAAGAAACGAATGCGGCTGGACTTTTCCGCATCTTCATATGAACGTGTCCCTGGAGAATGCAAAGCAAGTGTTCGTAGATCGTCGTCCCTACTGCCGGCCAAGACGGTTTGTTCCGCCAGCATATACTGATCATGACATCATCTACCTTTCGGCGACCGATTCACGATAAAATTTACCGAGTGGGGCTATGAGCCAGGCGAATGGTAGACAAAAATTCATAATTAGGCAATTAGAATTTAATAGACACATCTTGAGCTCAAGGACAACTTCTCTTACGACAATGGCTGTCGACTTCGGAGTGAATAAGACAGGCAGCCAAAAAACGGACTTCAAAATGATACGCTCAGCGTTGCGGTACTTGACAATCACCAACAACTTTTTGGATATTCAAACTTTAGTCTAGCTTTCGATCATATCTGAACTAAAGATTGTGGGTAAAAATGTTCTACTGTTAAGACGGGACATCAAGAAGATAAGGTGAAAATGGCAAGATATATATAGTCATTATCAGGGCGTACAGTAAAAGCGACGAGACAACGAAGAGCACATGACTAAAGGATATGTATACGGTTCAGTTATCTCAAAACACCATAGTATACTCTGATAAATTATTTGGTTAAGACTTAAGAGAGAGATGCCTTCCGGTCGGCCAAGAGGAACAGGAGCTCAGGGCTTAGAAGGAAAGAGGGGTCCGCGAGTCAATGAGTCAGCAAGTTCTCCAAATCACATGAATTGGAAGGCTGAAAGTTCAGGATTTGTCAATTGGGGTACCAGACAGTTGACAACTTGACACTGGCAGATTGTAAAAAGATTGGTCGGGGAGTCACCCTCCGCCCAAACTGATCAGCCCGGATTTCCGCCTACGGTAGGGATTTGAGGATATTCCGGCACGATTTGTAAATCACGGACTTGCGTCGGAAAAATTGGATGGAGACATCTATCTGGCTGCTCGCAGCAGCCAAAAGACGAACTCGGCAGGAAGCCCAGGATGCGTGGATCAAGGCATGGCAGGGTGACTGGACGAGTCGGCCAACCAAGCGCTTAATTGAGGTCCCGAAGAAACGGGGCTTGAAGTATTGGAAGGGGCTGCGGAAGGCGACAAGCTCAGTCCTTATACAGGTCCGAACGGGCCGCATAGGGCTGAACGCCTATCTCAGCAAGATCAAGACCCGTGAGACCGCTCGCTGCTATTGCGATCTTGGCACCTAGACCCCCCAACACGTCATAATGGATTGCTCAATGTTTGTAGGGCTGCGGAGGAAAATGTGGAAGGAGCTGGAGCGGAAGGGAGTGCGGACGACTTCGGATTTCTGGACGATTATCGCGGACGAGAGGGTGGCTCCTGCGATTGCGGCATTCATGATTCAAACAGAGCTCCTGGATCAGTTCCGAGCGGTCGATCCTACTGCTACAGGAATCACGAGGGAATGGGACCACCGGGATCCCGAAGACGACGACTAGAGCACTGCGCCTGGAGGCGATGAAGGACGCACCATGCAGTGTTGCGGGCCCAGGCTCCCGCAGCGCAGAGACGATGAAAGAAGGGAGCGATTTGAGTCGCGACGGCGATGCAGAGGAGGAGGTGAAAACACACTCTTATTCGGGCTACCATTCTTGGCAGCCGCTGCCGGCAGCATTTCCGTCTCGCTGAGCGAGCAACCCTGCATGGCGGCTATTAGATAGGTATTGCTAGGACAGGTTAATGAATTCTACTACTACTACTACTACTACTCAATGCTCACTCGTGCTTGTACGGTGTAGCTTAATTTCTAGGGCTTCGCGATTCCACATCCCGATTCCACGTCTCCACAGGACGGCTTTCGACTTCCAAGCAGGCTTCTAGCCCCCCTTCTCGCCCCTGGGCAGGTGGTATCCGGGTACCTGGTAATAGTCCCGAAGACAGGTCAACTACTAGTTCGTCGACAGTGCCCCCATGCTACGCCTCCGCCCCCTCGTGTTAACTTCAATAGATGATACTAGCAAAATGTTCCCAGAATGCAAATGATACACGGAGTGCACGTTGTAGGTTAATAATAGCCTGATATGCAGGGGCAAGTATATGGCCTCAGCGGCATAACTCGGATTATTCATCGCTAGTGGAGAATCCCCTTGTTTTCCGGCCCGTGGAAGCAGTTCGACCTGATGTCCACTACGTGCGCCGATCTTTCGATCAGATTGATCGGCATCAGGGTCTGCTTGCAACAATCAATCTCTATCTGCCAAAATGCCAACTCCTACCCTGCGCATTCAAATATCATTAACCCGCCCCGGCTTCACATCCCCCGCTTTCGCAGACCTACCGTTGTCACTCATTATCGTCTAGAACTCAGCAATCATGGCAGTCGTGCCAGGCCTTACTGTGTAACAATACTTTTTTTTTAGGTCACTTTATATAAATAATACAAAGAATAAAGAATATAAATAATAAAGAATATCTGTCGCCTCCCAACTGGGATCGCGTGGGGTTCTTCTACATCTCCTTTTGCGCCATATGGACTACTCTTTTACTTGCCGGAATGGCGTTTTGTTGGTATAATCGTCGCGTACCTATCCTCAGGGCCCGCGGGTTGCCACTCTCATATTCTGCGATCGCGCTTCTTCACGTGTACTGGATCCTTGGCCAGATCACCTATCCGATTGGTGCGACCATGCCAACGATCCTTGCCTACGATATCCAGTACTTCGGCATGGGTATCTACTTCCCACTGGGCATCGCTCTGTTCCACGCCTCCAACCTCCGATTTCTTCACGTCGCCAAGATGTAGAGATAGCAGTTCGCTCATCCGGAACTTCGAATCGAAAACAACTGCAAAAGCTCCGATACCTCTTGGCTGTGTCGCCTTCTAAACATGGATTATATGAAACGGGCATTTCTGTTTATCAGAATCGGGATCGTCTTTCAGGTGTGTAAGCCCTCTCTCGGCCGAGGACCGGCTGATAGAAACTGATATTCATCTTACTAGTTCATCCTCTCCGTCTGCATGTGGCTCGCTTGCGCAAAGTATCATCCGACATTCGGGATTCACGGAATGGAACTGCATAGCACAACGGTGCTAGAGCAAATCATAGAGCTAGGTCGAGGATGGGAATGGCGGCCGTCCATGTTATGGCTAGTCATCTGGACATGGATTGTAAGTCACGCAAAATAGTGATTTGATACATCTGCTTACATGTTGAGTATCCGTCTAGGCGGCACCGATGCTTATTTGGGAAGCTTGGGACATCCATGATACGATGAGATGGCGGACTCAAACAGTCGCCTGTTGCATCTCAAGGTATGTTGGTCACATAGAGTTGTGATGGTCCACGTGATTAATAGTCATCTCCAGTCTTCATGCGACCCCAATGTTCTTGATCGCATCCTATGTCCCTGCATTCGCAAAGGTGAATGTTTATTTCACTGCTAGTCAATGATAAGAATATCCTATTTGAGCCATCAACTTAAGGTTCTGAGATGAATATAGGATCCACTTGTCGATCATGATGTTCGAGATCTTCACTGTATTCGTTCCCATCTTCGAAGTAGTCAAGCTCTGGATGATAAACAAGAAAACGACCAACTCGATGACCAAATTCCATTCGACGTCCTCGTCCACGCTATTCCAAAGAGCAGTGTCGGTCGGCACCAAAAACATTTCCTCATCGACACTCGCCGAGAAGGGACAGGTGATCGAAGTTATGGACGAATCCACTAGTGAGCGTTTGTACACGATGGATGCTCTCGAACAAACTCTCAGCACGAATGCCAATGAGCTCCAGGAATTCGCCGCACTTAGTGATTTCTCCGGCGAAAATATCGCGTTCATGAGTGAGATCGCAAAATGGAAATCGTCCTGGCCAGAGAGCCTCGACTTCAATGACGAGCGTCAGACCATTGGTGCATTTAATTTAGGCGCTACGCATCTACGGGGGCTTTATCAGTACACAAGATGTGGAGTTCCCACTGAATATCTCCTCGCAGAGCCTCAAGAACATGGAGTCTGTGTTCAAAAACCCCCCGCGTATTTTTTTCGGAGAGAAAGTTGTCAACCACACCTCGCCGTTCGATATGGATCTATTCGCATCATCGTCCAATGATACTCTCGATATCCAGACGAACTACACGGGAGACATCCCTGCAGTCTTCGACATGACCATATTCGATGCCATTCGGGTCCATGTTAAATACTTGGTTTTGACCAACACCTGGCCGAAGTTCGTAGAGTCAATGCGCCGCCGATCGATTGACTCACAGGATACCGAATTTTCGGCAGCCTCGGGGACCCCCTTGTTGAGCTGGATTCCAGAAAAGCGTGCGAAATTGAAATAATTTCTCTAAAGGCCAGAGATTCATCTAATGGGAAAACTTTACGCCATTAGTACACGCCATTTGTTCTAACTTTCTCTGTAGATATGCTTAGGGACCACTTTCATTTTAATTTTACCTTAACATTGGTACCTCTTATGAACAATATTTCTTTCGCTAAAATGTAATGGAAGTACAATGCAAATAATAAGATTGCTTGTTAAACGGTAAATCTAGACAGAGCTAACAAAAGTGCTATGACAACATCAAAGAGTTCAAGGAATCTTGGACCTAGGTTAGTCTGAGAGTCGTAGTTCGATGAGTCAAATGCGCCGAAAAAAGCTTGGGTGATGACACCTTTTGTGCAACTTTGTTAGAAGCTTCTTATGCATGGTGTTAATGGAGACAGTCTTTCCCTGTAAATTCTTATGAAATTTGCAATGATTTCTCCCAAAATACATCGGGCAATCTATGATCGGCAAGCATTTCATTTTCACCTTTTTCCTAAAGAACTGTGACATATTGTCAGCCGTTTATTTGGATGAGAAGCTTTGTCTCGTAGGTGTCATAAACTCATGAACACTGACATGTGATCTGACTGAGCGGTCATCTCCGTGGGCAACTCTCTCGAGCCTAGATTGGCCAACATCTCTGTTTCGAGCACGCCGGGACGGTAAGTGTTGATCAAGGGCGCACCCAATTCCCATGGGTAAACGGTCCCAAGCCAAGGTAGCACTAAGCCATTGATACGGACAACGTCCCGCCCAAATAATTTTCGGGAGGTTATAAAGCAAGCAGTTCTGAAACAGGGAACTCATTAACCCGCTGTACAACACAAACATCATGTCCAAAGCGAAGTTCGCCTCTGTCGCTACCCTCGGCGCTGCCGTGGGAGCAGCATCGAGCTTGCTGTATACCAAATCGCAGGAGCCGGAACCTACTACCCAAAACCCAATTACAGTTTCCACCCCTATTATCGAAACCAAAAGCCTTTCATTCCCAAGCCCACTATCAATTTTTAAAACTCAGGAGCTTCCGACTGGCCCCGCCAATCCCGCAGGAATTTTGAAGTACGGCTTCCCCGGTCCGGTTTCCGATGAATTGAAAACACTCGCTGTTTATGGTGGTTACGATCGTCGAACGCGCAACCCGTCCTGGGTCGCCGAGCATATGACCACCGAATCCGTGGCGACAAACCTAGCATCCCGCAAGAACAACTTCCGCGAGGACACAGATATCCCAGCATTCTTTCGCGCCAAGGTCTCTGATTATGTCGGTTCCAAGTATGATCGCGGGCACCAGGTTGCTGCTGCCAACGCAAATTGGTCACAGCAATCTATGGACGATACGTTCAAGATGAGCAATATGTGTCCGCAGATTGGAGTCGGTTTTAACCAGCACTACTGGGCTCGGTTCGAGAAATTCACTCGCAATTTGACAACCAGATACCCATCTGTTCGTGTCATCACTGGCCCATTATACCTGCCGTACCGGGATAGCGAGAATAAATGGCGGGTTAGTTATGAGGTGATCGGAGACCCGCCGAATGTTGCGGTGCCAACTCATTTCTACAAAGTCGTGTTCGGGGAGGAGGAGGACAACGGGAGTGAGCTAGGTGGCCCGGTCGCCATCGCAGCATTTGTGTTACCAAATGCCCAGATCGACAAGAATAAGGACCTGAGTGACTTTGAGGTCGAGCTGGCAGCAGTTGAACGAGGAAGTGGACTTGAATTCGCTCGGAAGCTAGATCCGAAGCAACGAAAGAAACTATGCGAGGAAGTCAAATGCGATCTCCGTATTCAGGACTTTGCGTGCAAAAGTAAACTATGATTTTGTGGCCTATCCATATAATATTTTGAGACCTCGAGGGGTACGAGTGTTTAATATTGCAAATTTGATATCTATATTGGCTCTAAAGTGACTTAAGTGCTGAAACGTTGGGCTGGGCCATCGCCATGAGATCGCATGTTCGACATCATAAGTTTGAAGGTACTTCAAAGAGTAAATAGGCAAAAGAAAGGAGAAATATAATCACGGGCATAAAAGTTTGGGTTACGCTTGACAAACCCGAGAAACCGAAATGTTATCGTGCTGAGTGCAAACCGACTTCCAAGAATGGCTCAGGTGGCGTAGGCCAGACTTCGCTTAATCAACATGATTGACAAACAGACTATTCCCCTTGCACAATCGCCTCTTTAGCGCGAGAAGCCCTGATCATGAAGAAGCTTTCCGGGGCCCACGACAATCCCTCGCAGGTGAAAGAAAATCCCTTGGACTGTAACAAGTCCTCGATTGCAAGTCGAGTAGAAGACCCTTCCCATATCTCAAGTACAATATTCTGGATCAAATCCCAGTGAACATCATTCAAACCAAGCAAGACCTCCAGCTCCGCGCCCTCAACATCGATTTTAACGAGATCAATCTTGGTGATACCGACCTCGTTGTACAGAAAGTGGGACAATCGTTGCAATCTGACATCCACTTCACAGGCACCACCAAAATAGTACCTCGCAGCTTCTTCGCCGAATTGCTCAATAGTCTGCTTGCGCTGTTCCTCCTTTTCGCTGGGATTCAAAGTCGAGTTGCCGGGCATGTTCGGGAAGTACGTTAGTTTCTGAGTCCCTTCTTTCGAGCTCAAACAGAAGGGGTAAGGTTTCGTGTCTGAGAGGTTGTGTAACTGGAGGTTGCGGCACAATACATCGTATGTCTCCGGAGCGGGTTCGAATGCGAGAATCTTCGATGCTGGGTATTTCTGCTTCATGTACAAAGTGAACAGTCCAACGTTCGCGCCAGCATCAACAATGAAAGGACTTTGACCGAGGTTCATGCAACTGTAGCAGTCATCTTCGAAGATCTCCTTGTAAATATGCCCGACTTCCTTCGTGTTGGAAGCATAACAGGAAACTTTCGGGAATTGAACAAGTTCGACAGGCATGATTCCGATAGTGAGAAACTCGATGGTGCGTGAAGATTGAAGTGGCAGCCCTTAATATTATGGATTCTGACTCTGGAATCATATGTCCTGAGATGAAGAGAGGGAACAATAGGGTAGATTGCGGGTAAAGTTCCTTACATTCGAATAGCTACTTAAAGACAATCGCACTAACAAATATATAGTGAGGGATCGGTTTATTATGTGTACTACCTGCACTGATTTCAAGACTAAATGGTTCCACACGAATCCCACAATCGAGGACATGACGCAGTGAACGTATTATGTCTGTGGCACATGAACATAATGATGTTCAACCACAGGACCTAGACTTCCCCCATCTACAAAGTATCAAGGGTGTTTTAGCTCGGCACTACCTGACTAGCACGATATAGGTTAACATCATCTATGAGTCTTGCCCCAATACATTCCCTTGCCGTAGCTAGGAAAGGGGATGTTGTGGAAGTATTATCTTTCTTTCCATTTACTGAATTTTCCCAAGTAGTTTTTTTTTTTTTGTTGTTGTTGTTGTTGTTGTTGTTGTTGTCGTCAAAAGAGATTGACACTCGTGACAGGGATTATTTTAGCATAGGGCGGTAGCTAATCCCAATAAATTTGAGAACCAGGCAATAACAATCTCGTTTTTCAAATTCAAATTTCATTCTTTCCTGCGCAATATAATCTACTCTTTTCTCTAAATCCAGCACATACGACCACAGGGTGTGGAGAACAGGGCTTCCCGTCCGCTCAGCCGTACTTAAGCCACACGCCGGCACGTTAGTAGTTGGGTGGGTGACCACCAGCGAATCCCTGCTGTTGTATGTTTTTGGCTTTTTTTGTGCATGCTTGACGCCCTCATTCACAAGTAAGGGCACGAAGGAGTCTTCCACTCCTTGAATGTGGATATTTAACAATAAATAGGTAGAGATTCTTTTTCTTCCGGACGAGGACCAAAAGCCAGCCCAGTTACTGTCTGCTCTACAGCCCGAAGGGGAATAAGAAAAGTCAGCTGTTACATGTATGAACGTCCCTAGTGTCTTTCTAACGACACTCATGAGTGAGCGCAGGATGATAATGGTGAATTCGAAGTCCCAAATGCTAAGGCATTCCTAATAAGTGCCCAGTCGGACCTATAATTCGACCATCAGACTGGTTTCCTCTGTGACTTCCTGAAATCAGGGAACTTCCTGGATTGACTTCCTGAGCCAACGAACTTCCCGGTATGGAGAAACCTTCCTGGATATAGTCCTGCCTGAGGCGGAACCTCAGGCAGTACCTAGAGGCCCTAGATCCTCGCTCCTAGATAGCCTTTCCTCTCCATGGGAAAATTCCTTGACTACGAGTCAGAAACAAACTTGTCTTATATTAAGCTCCTTTGTAGACCGTCACATCCTCCCAGTATGGCAGTGGATGAGACCTCGAAGTGGAACTATGAGTAGTATTTCGTAGTGCGGTTAGAACCTATGCCGGGGACATGGCGAGGCATCCTTTCTGACCTGAGCTCCAGGGGATTTCTTCACCTTTTGTAAGTCTGCATTGGCACCACAATAATTTGTGAAACAGAAATGAAAGGGAACATAATAATGTCTGTATGTAAGAAAACAACAGTTGTCTATTAAAAAAAGTACAGTACATCGTAATACAACATATCTTCAAGTGTTATTAAACACTAAGGCCCAAGTCCAACCACCTACAAGCGTCTCCATTCATAGTCAGCGGAGAAAGATTCCATGAATCAAATGAAGTTTCCACTGCCAGTGCAACGAGAGAGAGGGAACTCCTTCTTCGTGCATCCCGCATGTAGACTCCGGAGAAATAAATCTTCATTTTATACAGTATGCACTCCGTCCATCCCCGAAGGTCCTCGATTACCCAATCAGCACGACGAAACAACATGGGTGCTCCTGATCCGTGGATAGCGTCGAACAACACATATCGCATGACTGCGTCTCTCATCAAGGATTCTCTTCGTTGCGCGACAAGTCGCGCGAGCCACTAGATAAGCCTCGTTCTTCACGAAATGTCTCAGTGGCCAATTAATGTGGCCGATCTGCTCCAGTTCAGGGCGTCAAGACGACGGAAGATTTTAATCCGAAATTTCCCTGGATCCGGAAACGATACGAGAAGCTTAATTTCTGCCCGTTGATTCGACGACTTCTAAGTCCCTGCTGATCCTCGCGTGGGGTATTGAATGATAACTGAACCTAGAAGAACCGTTTTATTCTAGTGCGTTTTAGTGCCAGGCTTGACTTCCGCCACCGCTACTATGGTCCATTGACAATACTACCAGGCATCCTCACCTGTTCTGGCACAGAGGACTTTATATTGACCATGCCAGCCTACCCAATGTCTCTATTCCGATACAATCACGCTCAACCTTCCAGTCTCAAGCCCATCATGAAGTTCCTCGCTGCCTCTCTCTTCTTGGCCTTGTCCCGCACCTACGTATAAACTCACCTAGCCCGAATCATCACAGATCACTAACTCTTCCTACCAATACCTTCGCCAAGCTGCACAATTTAGCAGCCTGTATCTCCGACCGACAATACTCTGAAATCGGCGGGACCCCATTCAGCGTCAGTTACAACTGGGCTAAGAACTACGAGATCCTGCCGGACAACACCAAGTGCGCGTGCGACTTTTACAAGCAGCGGAGCACCGGTAGCAAGCAATGGGACACCTGCCCTGATTGTAGCTTCGTACGTTGTTCTTGATGTGCTGTTATCTGATCCAAGACTAACTATTGCAGGACGGAACTTATTGTAACTCCGCGGACTGGCACATTGGTGGCAATGAGGTGAGTTATTTCTTACTCTTTCTATTCAGTGTGCACATACTAATGGGTCGTTAGATGACTTATTACTGTGAGAAGTTGTGTCATGCTCAGGGAGCTGAGGGAAACTATATTAATAGATGGAGTTGAGGAAATTGACGAGAAATGATATTATATGTATGTAAGCACTCGTTTCTTAGTCATTTGATTTTACAGTTGAACTAGATTTCCTGGAGCCTGTTTCTACCGCTTGCTTAAAAGGCCTTCTGCGCTTATTGAATTTTGAATATTTAACTAATCCACGGTCAAAGCGTTGGAATCATTCGACTAATTATGGAGAGGCTAGATGACTTACTGAGATCGGGGCAAATGTAGCTCAGGTGAAGAAGTCCGGATATATGTGAACGGGTCGTTTAATTTAGGTCATATGGATAAAGCTTTTATGGCTAGAGACATATTTGGGACACTGAAACAATAAACCACCTCTGCATTCGCATAGAAGCCTAGGAAAAACCCTCTGAATATTTAATGAAGGAGAAAAACCTAGACCAAGGCGCCGTGACATCCCAGAACACCAACCCCATTTACTCACTGTTCACATGAATCAGCCCGATCTCGATCCGAAGAGGGGATATACTCACAGGACCGATCTCATCGCAGTAGTCACTCTTACCAGACTCATAGCATTGCTGCTTACATGCCATAGCATACCCCACACCCCTGGATGCTTCATCACGGCAGTAGAAAAGGGTGTGTTGGATCTGGAATTCTGTGGGCTCTGAGATCCCGCCTTCCAGTAGGGCCTCTTCAATCTCGGGCATGTAGCTCCCTGTATATCTTTAGGCTTCGCTGCGAGTAAAAGAACGCAAAATGAGTACCTTTGTTCAAGAGAGTCCACCCGCAGTAGTACTCATTGTCAGTGCAATAAGCAGCAGTCGCTGAAGTAGCGAAAAGGCTCAAGACACCCAAGCTGAGACAGGCGAGTTTCATGGTGGCGGTGGTAGAGCTGCTTTTTCTTGGTCCGATTGGATTAAGAGTGCGGAGTGTGTCGATGAAGATCCGGAGAACGGCGTTCAACGGTTTTATATACTTGTGAAGTCCCTCCAAAATTCATGCAGACTTCCAGGTCGGGAGGATATCTTGATGCTCAAGCGGACTCTGTCGATAGATCATGGTTTCGTCATACAGGACGATGTAGCTTGTCGGTCGCCGATCCAATACTATTCTATAGTTCAATTACGCAATCCCTTTGTCGTGAATGTGGGGATTTCGAAATAAGACTCGTACTGTATGTAGCCTATCGGTGACCGATATTCTCATGCTAAATATTTTAACAGTTCGGTTAGGTATCTTCCCGGCCCGCTCGGGAGCGCAATCGAAGTTCAAAATTCAGCTGCTGGCTTTCCTATGTAGGCATATTAGCGCCGAGAACTAGCTTCTGTTAAAATTCCTAAGTAGCATTAAGCGGGCCAAACTAAAGTGCTATTAACTGGGCTAATTCCGGTTTATGCTCCCTTTTTCTCTCAATTTCCCTCGATGACATCTATTTCACAATAAAAATGGTAAAGTTATCTTTGTTCTAGATAATTCTAATTGATCTTGAACTCTCGAAGGCTTTCTCGACATTGCCGCAGGGAAGGGCTTCCCTTTTCACATATCCCCAGTCTGTCTTGATAGAACCCTCTTAACTTTTATTCAAACTGAATACTAACGAACCTATTTCCAAAAGGTGAATCATAGTGTAGTCTGGGTATTCCAAACTTTACTTGTATGCGTTGTCCGAGAAACCTCTCAAGTTACTTATACTGCTACACACTTGCTGAACGAAGCCATCTTAGATTACGTAATGAGGTAGTCTCAGAAAGCTTGGGTCACTGTATGCTTGACTGCTTGATCAGTGCGAGACCCAAAATGCGTACCCGGACCATTCTCCCTCATAGGATCACTTGCTGCGCTATAAGCGCCGCACATGGCTGTGCAAAAGTGAACTAAGAGTAGGCCCATTTTCAGCCGTACCCAAAATCGTGACTATGAGAAGCCAGTCAACCCAGCGGATAAAGAATCTTCCTTATTTAACACTGTTGTGTACGAGCTCTTGTAGGCCGTCTGGGCTTGGTTAGTCGATTAGCGCTTTGACTAGGCCGTGTTCGGTTTATCAGTTCAACGCGAGCCCTTTCTTTCTCTAACATCGCCCATCTCACGCTGTCATGTTACAAAACGTCAGCCTAGCTTAAGCTGGATGGCGGGCTGGTAGACCTTCTATTGGCGATGGCAAGATCTAGTGGAAACCGCAACAGAGGGCCATAGCGGCCAATCGGATGATCACCCGTAGTACGGTGCAGAGATTGCGGCAGAATGCCGGGATAAGATGGCGCGATGGGATTTCAGCTGATAAAAATACGTTGGGGTAATATAAACTCTTGATAATATCAGCCCGCCGTGTACTGCTTCCACACTATGTGACTTCAACCAACATTTGAGTGAGTGGGTTAATCCAATGTTGCAGTTAGTTGGTGTATGTTTGGGCTCCTATAGTCGGTGGCAACGGGTACACCTCTACCACCATCAAAAACTATGAGGATCTTAACCAGGGGTCGGAAAAAAGCTCTTTCGCCGAAGCTCGTTCATCCGGTCGCCACCGGAGCATTCTGCGTATAAAACGCAAAAAATGCTCCTGTTGTTCTCCTTTCAGGTTCCTCTCGAGATCCTCCAAGAACCTAGAAGGAACTTCATTTTCACCTTTCCATTTTCCTATTTGGTACTTTTTAGACAGGTAAAGTCGAACTAACATGGGGTGAAAGAAGTAGGTGTTTTACCGCTTGTATCGAAGAAATTATGAGCATGTTCACTTTTCTCAAGTATCTCGCGCGGCGGTAGGCCCATGTATGCAATCATTTCACCGAGGTGATGGCTGTCTGAGTCTTGTTTATTTGCATCCTGAGCGTGAAAAAGATGACCTGGCTCGAATAGATCCCAAGCCTGTATACGATGTCAGCACGAACAAGGAAGACAGGACCCTAGTTTCTGGGTAAGCATACCAACACTGCAAGATTTCAGATGTCAATCTTCTCATTCCAGGGCATACGCAGTAGCACTTCGGGAGCCCTATACATAATTGGCTGTACATCACCATAATATGTTGCTGACGCTGACCTATGGCGAGCCTCCCCAAAGTCTGAGAGTACAGGACGACCGTGCCTTTTCGGAATGCCCAGCTTTCGAGAACAATAGATCGATCGATCCCCGACCATCTTGTATGGACTTGGATCAGATATCTCAGCCATCTCAAAATTAACTAAAATAGATTCATCGTCAATATTGAGCATGATATTTTTTTCTTGTATGTCTACTATCAGTTAGCCTAGACCATATCCAACCGCATGTATGGCACTGAACCCGTATGGACAACGTGGGCTTTGCTATGCAAGAAGTCCAATGAAAGGAGAATATGTATCAGTGTGGGTTTGAGCAGGTTCTCCGGGAAGACCTTCTGAGGAATCCGAGTTCGAAGTTCAAACAGACTCATGCCTAAGGGTGGGTGGATAAGGCACTAGTGAAAGTGGGACCCATCAGTTGAGCGGAGCTGGAACTTATCCAATACTGTGCGCACGAGAATGGCACCAGTATGGCTTGATTTAAGAGTCCTTAGATAATCATAAACTTGAATCTCTCGTGCTGTGTGAGTGGAATCACATTCGTATAGTTTTAATGTGACGTAGATATGCTCCCTTATGCCAATAAGCTAACTCCATGCAATCGATGCCCTACACAGTAAGGTGCAGAATCGTACTGTAGGTCCCGACAGAGCCATACTGTTGAGTAGCCACCATAGCCCAGCTTTCCAACCACCTGATCCTTCGAATGGAGGACATCACCGATTTTGACTGGAAAGAAGTTGTCTTGGGAGTACCATGCTAATCTTTCCTCCTCCAGCTTGTCAGTCGAAGAGAGAAGGGGCCCGGGTGAGAACTTCCGGGCGGGCGATGGAGGTCGCCGGGAAAAGGGCACCCTGAAGAGACGTGATAGGCGTTGCATTATCCCCGGTCTAGCGATTTGAGATGAAGTGAAAAGGTAGATGAATGTAGCAAGGGCCGTGTGGAAGTCCGCCTTCACCCCTGGTCAGCTGCCCCCGTTGCCTGGGTGACTAAGCGATAGTGCGATTGTGGAGGACCCGACCTGTCTATAAAATCACCCCCAACAATAATGGGTGTCTACAGAGTATATCCAATCCACTATCTTGGCCTATATTTCACTTTGCGCTCGATTTTCCCTCCGGCTATACTTCCAGATGTCGTTTTCAGATTGGCCCAACCACCCGAGGTCATGTATTTATCCCGCAGCGTAATTGATAGGCCGAAAGGAACGACTATACAAGAGAGCGTGACTGTTCGTAGGTTTCTTACTCTTTGTTACTTTCCATCTCTGTTCCATTGTTCAGACTTACATTTTATTTTATATTGATTGGTTCATTGAAACCAAGGACCTGCATCGGGAACTTCCAACATCAACATAAGACAAAAATATCACTTCATTAACCGAGCGAATATAAGTTCAATCCTGGTGGTCGGTCAATTGGTGAAATTTGTACTCTATTGTAGATTGCCGAAAGTATGTTGTCTAGTCTTATAAGATACCCATATGTTGCCCTACACTGTCTCGGCTCCTGTAGTCCTTCTTTCTGTTATGGCCACATTAATACAAATAGACATTTTTTAATTTACCATTATGTCCCTGTTCATAACAAAAGCCAATATCTTCGATGAATCTAACGAGTAATAGGGTTAATCTATCGCGTGTGCACAATACTGATCTTGGTTGTATGTATTAGAGCAGCCGCTATAGCCTATTATGTATGTTAGAAGTCGCTTCCAACCACAATAGCTCCGTCGTATTTCATTATTTTAACAGCAAAGATTATCTCACAGAGCGTCACTGCAGTATACTTGGGCTTTTTAGTATATACAAGCCCGATTGAAAATTTCCGCAGGCGGGTACAAAATATATAAGATTTATGACCATCGCTATAACCTATTCTAACTTCAAAACTCAATTTCCGAATCTCTCCGCCTAATTTCCAATTTCGCAAAGGGATCTGCAACAAGATCGGCCCCCATCCTAATATGTTGAGGAGAACTACCCTCCGCGAGTCTAAAGTCATACTTCAGCAAAATGTGCGAAAGCGCAATCTTGATCTCATTCGCGGCGAAGAATCGACCAGGACAAGCATGTTTTCCCAGACCAAATCCCAAGTGCTGCGGGGAAACCGAAACCAACTGCGCGGATTTTTCACTGCCAGGCGTCTCGCGCAGTCGCAGAAATCGATATGCGTCGAATGTGTCAGGTTCTGTGTAGACCTTCGGATCCCACATCTGTTCGCCAGAGATGAAAATAGAAGTTCCTTTGGGGATAACAGCGCCGTCCGACAAAGCGACGGTCTTCATTGCGAGACGTCTCATAGAAACTGCATGTATCTCCTTAGCTTATGATTGAAATTCAAAAAGCATGAAACATACCTAGGCTGGTCGGTTTTAATCGTTGACTCTCTTTCAGCATACTATCCATGAGCTTAAGTTTATAGAGTGTGGTTTTTTGCCATCCATCTTCTTGGATAACAGTACGAGCCTCTTCACGTAGAGCTTTAATCAACTCGTCCTTTCCGCAGAGGTCATAAAGCACCTGAGTGATCATATCAGAGGTAGTGTGGATTGCTGCAAGGGAAAAGGAAAGTTGTGCAGCACCGGCATCGTACGGCCGACCTTTAGCACACTGTTCCATCCATTCCATCGCGTCTGTGTAGCGTTTTGGGGTTAGTCCTTCTTGAACTGCGACTGCCTTTTCTGCCGCACGCTCCGCCAGTACAGGATTGATTATGTCACGGGCATCCTGTAGTTCGGTCTGAATTTTGCGGCAAGATGGGAGGAATCTAGCGACAAGAGGGCGAATGATGCGAGGCCACATTCGCAGAGATTGAGCGGCCATGAATGAGTCGACCGTATAGTCGACTGTGATGCGAAGCCAGTTGGGGTCGCGACAGATCCTGTCACCCAGAAATACCTTCGATGAAAGCTGGGCGACTAGCATCAAGATAGTATCTTTTGTGTGAATAGCATGCCATTCTAGACCCGGTTAGCAGTACAAATGCAGATGCTGTACGAGAGACTCACGAGACTCATCAGTCCAGTATGACCTCAACGCAACGGTAGTCTCATCCGATAATGGTTTAGTCACACTCCCTTTTATATAGTCAGTATTAACCACGTGTGTTGAATATGCTCTATCATCTCAGAATGCTTACCCAGACTCTGCGTCAATTTTATACGCACCGCATCTTGAACTATCTGATCTGGGTTCGTTCCTTGTCGAAAGGGTTCAAAGCCAGAAATATGAGAATGGAAATCCCGCCCCGTTTCATGTCCAAAGCTTAAGTCCGGATGGTTTCTGATTTCATTTGCATAACTGGGGGCCAGGGCAGTTTTATGGCCATTTTCGGTGACGATATTAAAGATAGAAGACTAGAGATTAATGTCACGTTTGTTAGCTTAGGCTGACGAGGAGGAAACGTATAACCTTGCCTTCTTCAGTCCTTGAGCAATTAGAGATCTAGCATTGTAGAGGTATCGTGTCTTTGCGGGCGCAAGGCCAATCTCAAAACGCCCTTTCCCATTCACCAGGGGAATGCTCTTTCTTGAGTTAAAGAAGAAAAGGAATGCCAGGACAGTCAAAGAAAGTACACCGGCCGCCACAATTGGATCAATTGAGTTGTATGTCGCCAATACTTGGAGCATCATCTTGACGGGAATCCTGCACTCCAAAACGTTGGAGTTCACGACATGGGGGGGAAAGGTTGCTACAAGCTGCGAGGGCGCAGAATTTATATGGATATATTAAATAATAGTTCCTTCCTAGTTCTCTCAAAGCAATTGCAAGATCAGCGAGTTTTCAATTTTCCACGGCCATCAACATCCCGCGATCTACATTGCAAGTTGTGATTCAACAGTGCCCCACCCTTTGAACAGTCGATCCAATGAATCCCGGTAAGTTTTTCGAGGGGCGCGTGAATACCAATATAGCCATTCTCATTGGCTTTTACTAGTGGAGCACTGATTCAACAGGGGATCCATCCATTCTGCACGAGGTCGATCTGCAGGAAATGCTCTCCGGCATCGCATGGGGTTGAACTATTACTACATTCGGCAATAGCCCGTTGCTTTCAGGGAACCAGGCAAGCTAGTTCGCTAGCAAAGCACATTTTCTACATCTCGATGTGTTCAATTGTTGAGGTGGGTATGTCGAGCGGCACTCCCGTCATTGTCGTGACCCACTTTTACTACCCAGTATCCACCATGCAGTTAACTTGGAAACTGGGGCTGTAACCGAAGACCAGCGTATAGCAATACGATCAATCTTGCGAAGTGTGAAATCCAGCATTTGCTCTGACGAAGTTCTCCTCAAGTAATTTCAACTAGGAGTCCATGCACGTCTATTATCCCATGGCTTTCACCTTATCTTCATAAGAAAATCTAATAGCTTCCACGTCCATTCCCTCCACCAACTCCGGATATTTCTCAATAAACTCCGTCGTCAACCCCCACCCATCCTCTCTAGTAAAGACATCGAAGAAGTCCTGTCTAATCCCGAGATTATCCGCCGCATCTCGTTCCAAAATATCCTCTCCCCACGGCCATCGGATCTTTGTACAGCAGCATAAGTAACCAATAAGCTCACAATAATCATATCTCGTCCAATGGTCAATCATATTTAAACGTAGCTGCGGCCAAATGATCAGATCAATTAAGTCTGGATGTCCCCTTTGTAGCTGCGTCATGAGGGGATGGAGAAATTGTGGCAGTCGTTCAAATGTAACGGGGTTCGGAGACACCCGCCATTTGCTATACACATACGTCAGCCATCCACTGGCGAGACATTCCGGATCTCGCATCGACTGTCGACGTATGCCGTGGCTGACTTCGTTCGCTAGGTAGTTCCGTCGAGTGCCATAAATGAGGTCCAGAGGGGCCGGGACGGGTGGACATGCAGCGACAAGGTCTGGGCGAGCGAACCAGGGGCATGTAGCCGGCAAGAAAGAGGGGTTCATTCCGTACTCGTTGATCGGAGTGAGGGACCAAGAGGGGATAATCTCTGGTGCCGTTGATTGTGGGAACGGATGTACCCCAGGGAGTGATCTTGTGGCGATCTCCACAAGAGCAGATGTATTTACCGTTTGCTCTGCTAGACTCAATGGCGTATGGTGGTCTTCGGGACGTAGGCCTTCACCCGCCTGTTGACTTAACAGTGAATGGGCAGATTGCTCAGGGATTGAAATGCCGGATTGTAGTGTCAATTTGGGTGCTGCTTCCACCTCCATGGGGCGAACAAGGCACGGATTCAAGCTTGGCATCCAGGCATTCGCAACAACTGTAGGTGGCGTCTGGAACGAGGATGGTTTCTCAGAGAGTACATCATTAAATTGTCCCAGCAGATGACGAAGCACGACTTGTTGCTCCCGCAATTTTCTATTCTCCTCGAGGACTCGGTTCAACGTGATAGTGTGCCAGTGCATCCATGCAGGTCCATGGTTCTGATCGCAAAATGCCACACGATCTTCCAGCGATTTCATACGTGCCTCCCGCTTTTCTCTCTGAGCTTTTTGGGCCAAGCGATCTCGGAGACGCTTGCTATCAGACGACGAGTGGGAGGCATTGTGACGTGATGAACTCATCGTGTCGGAGGACATTTATAGACAACAGTTGAGACTGGGAGAAAAAAGCGGCGCCTCCGAGCGGAAGTGCAGGAATTTCTTGGCATCGACTTAGTCATTCTTATTTCCACCTTCATTTCTCTCTTTCATTTCCACGTCTTCGCATGGAAGCTGGGCTCGTTTTGTATTACCTCTGAATATCGGTCCTTTAATGTCTTTTGGTCCAATATAGCTAAGCAGCCTTTTGTGATCAAGACTAATTTACCTTATTTCGTACGGGAGCCACGATCATTGTCATGTTCCGAGGATGATTGTGACGAACTGACCAAGGCCTACTATATAGAGCGATGCGCATACCAAGTCTTCGACTTGGTATTCTGGTCTTTTTAGTAGCTCAGTTGGTAACTGTCCTACTAAACGGTCTTGGCGGGTAGAAGCGCACCTACTCACTGCCAAGCCCGTGACAATGATCCCCACGATATATTTTTTCGAGCACGCGACAATGTGATAACACAAAGACTAAGCAAAATAAAAGCAACATTCTAATGAATAGAAAATATTCATAATAAGAAGAAGTAGAAAACGAAAAAGGGGAAAAAAGATAGCAACGCAGAAATGAAAAGTTCGGAAACAAGCCATCGAGAAAACTAGTTAACAGAAAGGAATTAGAAGAAAAAACAAAAAAAGACAAAAAAGTGAATGTCGGTTGACTTGGTCATTGCCCTAAGCAGATATCCTATCGATTCAACTGAATGTAGGTATATGCTCGGTGGGTAAAAGTGAAGTGTTATTCTAGACTACTCGCTTCGTTGAAGATATATCAGCTGCCTATGCCAAGGAATCACATGACTTAGGCATATCAGCTGAACAATGGTTCCAACAGTGAAAGAACTGGTAGATACTAGTATAAATTGATGAACCACCGAAAATTATTCGTGAAACGTATTGCTCCTAAAGAGCCTATCCAGAGGTTAATGAATGCATGCAGATTATTTTAAATCGAAGAAGAACACGCTTACATGCAACAACACAGATCATAACTAATCGCCACGTCCAATGTTGACAGATCCGCCAGCACCACCATTTTGATATCCAGAATTGTGATTGGCGCCACCCCTGACATTTGCATTCGTCATGAAGCCGTTGCGTGAGGTACTTGCGCTGGCATTGCCGCCATTGCTCGAGATATCTCCGACTCGCGTGGTTCGACTCATATGGCTGTTGCGAGTTTGTATACGCCCGTAGTTCTCAGCGTGATGATTGCCCAGATTGTTATTATGAGAGTTGGTCAAAGTCGTGTTTCCAAAGTTGCTTGTGGTGGCTCTGCCACAATTGCTGTTGGTGACGGAAATTCTGCCCTCGTTGCCAGTGGGACTGGAGGGCTCATAGCCTCTGGGCTGATGGAATTGAGAAGGAGGGTTCTGAAATTGCGGAGGCGGGGGTTGGAATTGAGGAGGGTTTTGAACCCAATATCCTGCGCCGTATGGAGGAGCGTCGTGGGGGTAATACTGGTTGTAATGTGGGTCATATTGCGGCCGCAGGAAAGAACTTGGGGGGATATCCAGGAAATCCCTGGATTGGCTGAGGGAAGCCCCCTCCGGCATTGTTTTCATGATGATTGTAACCCATTGTGACAGAGATTCGGCTCCTGACAGGATGAATGAGGGTAAGAGAGACTGATTGAGTGCCATTGAAAGTATGTGCTCGAGGCGTTTTGGCTGGTTTAATAAGGCGCTTTATAGCGTATAGTTCTCTGATATATAGGGTGTTTCGGTGCTCATTTACTACCAAACTATAGGGTAAAGATTTCTAGAATGATACTAAACAATCACCGGATAGGGCGCTAGACTACATGGCCATTTTTTGTATCCAATCCACGGCAGGATTAAAATCGAGGTGTGGTCTGAATCACAACTTCGTTTGGGTGTCAGTATCAGCGAATTCTGTATTGACATGTGGTTATCTTGATGTTCAACTGCTCAGTCCCCGCGAGCGCTAGAGGAAGCGTTTCTTCTCAACCCAACTCAGTCATAATTTTCAAAGACCTTGTGACATTCTTTTTTGATCATCTATCCAATCACGATTACGAGTGGGACAGGAAAATGTCTGCCAACAGGTCGCTCAAAGTCGGTAACATCACCGGCGATGGAGGACGAGGCGTGGGCTACCAAGCCGTCCGTCTAGGACTGGCATCTTATCAACAGCAAGACGGATCAGGGGGTGCAAACGGAGGTGATGGAAGTGAGGTCTCCATCGCCACCTCGGGTCAATACCACAATGTTCAGGCTGGCGATATTTCCAATAAGGGAGGTGACGCCCAACTCTGCGGTAGACACAGCTCTTCTCAAAGTGGCATCGCAGCCTCGGGAAAGGCAGCCGCTGGATCTGGCGGAAAAATCACTATTGGATAAATGTGAGCAATTCAGTTCGTGTGCCTGAGGTCAGTTTTAGTTACTAACCTGGGAACAAGAGGACGGTATTTGATTGAAGGGCGGGGCTGTTGGAGATGCGATGTCCTTCATGACTGTCGGTTTCTGTTTCTACCGATTTTGCTTTCGTTTTTGGAGGGCAGGGATATAATGTTGGTGCTTTTAAGGACACAATGCGGACCAAATAAGATTGGGTCTTAACACCGTGTGACTGACCCCTCATTCGCTGTCTTCCACCTGGACATTCTTGCGTTTGCTAGCTTTTCTGTGCTCCCACCTTGGTACTTTTCTATTCTTCTTATAGCTTAGGGCGAAGAAAACAAATCTACTACACGAAGCATTCACCCTACTGATCAAATATCTGGCAAGGCTACAAAAGACATCCCTTACCAGTGTAGGCTTTGTATGACGCTTGAGTAATTCATGAATTACGGGAGGCTTAATACTAACCACAACGGCTCTGTAAAAGGACCATGCTGTTTCGAATACTCTTTCATCCTCAGTGGTAGCGGAAGAAATGTCCGGAACAGTACGATGTCACCCACGGGCACTTGAACCTGAAGCAATTTCAACCGACTGGATTGCGAAGCGTTTTTTTGGGGAAGTTTCGAATGAGGGACACGTTAGTTGCACATGATTAACTCAATTGATAGGCTGGCATGAAGGTATTAATATGAGTGTAACTATAGTTCCCCAATGATGGTGCATCTTGACTTGCAATCACCCTAGTTGGCCTTGGCGCCTCGGTATGACGTCATAGGCTTCGGTGGGTGGTCCCCTCCACCCCTCCTCTCCCTGGGCATAGGCGTCTTATCTTCATCTTGACCAGAAATTGACTACCCGATCACAAGGTTTGCCGCGGGATATGAGACAAAGAGTATTCGATGGTATCAATGTTGTCCCTGGACCTGAATCAACTCCATATGACAAGGGCACATGACAATTGACAAGTACCTAACGACAAGGGTCGATCTGACACCAGTCGCCTAACATTTTCACCAGAAAACTAAGAACGGGGCCCAGGTTCATTGCTGGATATAGATTTATTCTCTCAATTTGTTGGGATGCGCGGCTCGTCGTTGTGCAATGATAGACAATGAAAACCCAATAATAGACGACAAGTAGACCGACCATTAGCGGCACTAGATTGGGCTCTATCATTCACAACCGCGTGCAAACATGCATACCCCTCATATGTCGGTGAAGCAGAGGATTGGCAATATCGGGCCTACATGAGCACTGTAGATCCCTGCGGAAGGGCGTTTCAGGCGGTGCTGGCATCCTAAAATTTTTAGCCACTATGTTCCTCCTAGACCTAATTAGCGTCTGATGGGGCAATTTGAATACTGAGCAGAACAATATACTTCTTCCGGAATCTCGGGCCTGCATGCGTCCCCTTCGACATGCCGATGGGAACCGCTTCTGGGGAGATTCACGTGTAACAAACATGAAACGCATGAAGGTGTCAATCGTTGAATATGATAGGGCTGTTACAAGCAGACCAATAGTGTGGCTTTATCATTTGCCCACGTAAACGGTTTCCTGAACCTGACCTAGTAGTGGGGAAACAAATGTCACAGCCTCTCAGCCGAGATTTGAAAGCACGGAGCCTTTCGTGCGAAGACACATCATGAATTTGGCATGTTGTACCTGCTCGATTGCTAACTTTTCAATGATCATGTGTGCATAGTGTTAGCATGTATGGGGCTTTGAATCTTGACCGCTACAAGGTCTACATGATGGATTTTCTTGAAAGATCTGTAAAAAAGAACATAAATATAGAGCTGGATAGGAGCGCCGAATTGTCGATATATATCTTCAATATACTGTATCCGAACAGTACGACATATGGTGTACTGAAGACACTGTCTAACATTCAATCATGGCATCAAAGCTTCGCTGTGAGGCCAAAATCAAGAAAGGTACTCGGTGCCATCGCCTGTCCTCGGAAATTTCAGTTTATTGCACACAGCATGCGAACATAGTGAAGAAAGAGACCGTTTCTACAAAGACCAATACTTCAAATGCTATGATCAGCATTGAAATTCAGGAAAGTTCCTCACAGTCGAGCGAGGTTTCCGAAGATTCCAACTTAGAATCAACCCTACTAGGCGACGATATTGAGGCCGACTATGAAGAAACCCCCGATGGTTGTACCAATCCCTTCAAGATGGGGGTCAAGAACGATGGCTGCCAATACGCAAAGAATGAGAATATCGGGAACATGACTGTACAGAACCTGGCAACCCCAACAGCACAGGCCTTCAACCGAATTAGCAATTTCCAGGGATATATGGTATGTCTGGAATGCCTTGCTATTGAATTTCTCTCCAATGACAGTTCTAACACACATTAATAGCCCACAACAGTCAATGACTCTCGTTCCACTACTCAGAACATCATTTACTACATTTGTCCTGCACTATTGGGCCAAGCCAATTGTATTGAACGGCTTATCGATAAGGCAAGATACGTCACTGGGAAGAGACTCGATGGCAATGATGCGGTGACCGGCAATGCACAATTCTCATCACCTCTTAGTACGGAACGATCTGGTAAGACAATCGAAATGCTTCCGAAACTGCTCAATATTGACTCCGTCGCAGATCACAAACAGGCCATGAACAAGCGCAAGGCTGTTATGCAGGATACAGCCCTCCGCCTGACCGAAATATCCTGTCTTCTCAAGAGAGCTGCGGCGATCTGCCAGGACGGCAGAAGGAAAAAGCTTTTGGAAAAGGCTGACCTGACTACTACAGGTGTAGCTGATGACAATATCTAACGGTTGCGGCTGTGAAAGGAAATATGGCTGTTTCTTATGGCCTGGATAGAATTAACAGGCGCGTGGTGGCTGATTTAGCTCTTCGTTCTCGTTCTGTGTTTTGTTTGTTTTCTTATTCAGTTTTTTGTCTATCTGGAGGCATCGCATACTGGAGTGAACCTTGCTTCGAGAAATGGCCGACTGGAAACCACAGTTGATGTTATAATTAGCATTATAGGATGTATGTTTGCATTTAAGCATGAGGAATTACGTGAATGAAGGGAGTAATTGTTTTACATATACATGAAACTCTTTCCTCTGACCTTTGATTGCCATATTCATACAAACCGGTTCATTTTTCCTATATAAGAATATAGCACAAAACGGCGATTGTCAACCCGAAGCAAAGTCTGGCATTCTCAAGGGTAGAACCTAGAGACTCCTCCCCGTCTTTCTGGTCTTTGTCTTGACCCTTATCAGTAGTAGTAGCAGTAGCACCTGGAACCGAATTTTCTCCGGATGTAATCTCAACGATATTATCCGAGTATGATTCCGATACTAGATTGGCTAGGGAAACCTCATCGTTGGCAAGATCAAACACTGAATATACAGACCTAATGAAGTTTGTCCCCAGCACGATGCTTCCTCTTTTATTGTAATCTCGGTTGGCCACAATCCCTGAATAGCAAGCATCGCCATATCTTGTGTACGCGTGCTCAACGCTCACCTGGGTCATCAGCAAGCCAATAGGAAACTCAAACTTCGCAGCACCAAATTCAAGGGTAATATTGGTTTTTGATGTTTCCAGAGAGCAGGGAAGAGTGATTTGCCCAGATTCAGGGATCTTCTCCACATTCAGCTGTATGGCAAGCGCTGACATGACTGATTCAGGAACATGCGTAAGGGATACTTGGTTGTCGAGTAACGCGTCTAATGTGAACGATTCCGGGGAAATGGATGTTTCGTTGATTAGCAGACCGGTCATGTTGACGCGGAATGCCTTGCGCTCGCCAGACGGCCCCGGTACAATCGGCAGGGTTTGCAAGGTGCCGGAATATTTTGCTTTGTTTACGCCACCGAAGAGAATTTTGCCACCGTAACGGTACCCATAGTTTGTCCACATGCTGAAGGCAGGTGAGTTGATGATTCCCGCGTCCGTCAAAGCTTGGGGTAGCGACACCGAGGAAGAGCCTTCTTCTCCGTACCCAAGACCAATCGTGTCTAACGATCATCTTTAGTGAAAGATATAAGAGTGATATGACAGAAAATGGAACTTACTACTGGTTATTCCATCGTATGCCACACCCAGTTTCATGGAATCAAGTTTGGTATTCCCAATAACCAGAGCATCCTTGAAAAAGTCGCCGGTGACATTGGGCCCTCTGTCATTAACTGCAAAATCGGAACTAACGAACTCGGCGGTCTTGGAGGTGCTCGTGTTATATCCGCCATACCCGTCGCAGTTCTCCTTGTCTTTGAACCATTGACAGCTGGTTGAATTGGCCGCATGAATCCAGCACTCATTACCCATAATATTGAAATATACCTCCATCTCCTGGGGAGGAGTGCCGACAGTGATGTTTGTGTGGACGAAGACCATGTTCTGTGTAGGTTAGGCCAGTGTCCCCTAGCAGTCTTCTAAACGGCCTCCATACCTCGATCGCAGCGTCCACATCAAGCACGTTCTTCCTCTTGTCTATCCCAACACGACTCATCGAATTCGAGCCGAACATAGGTCCAAACCCAAACGGTACCTCAAGAGTAGATGGCACATCTTTCTTCTCTAGCGTTAAAGCGGCTCTTGTCAGGGACACACCCAAAAAAGCAACGAGCAGCGTTGATCCACTCCTCATGGCGATCCTTCGATAGAGGATTTTATTTTGGGTTCAAATTAATTATACCCCAGACTACCAAACAGCCGGACGCCATCGATTGTTAAATGCTCTCGAGAACCCACCGTCCTGCAGTCCTGCAAGTCGCTCACGCCCGTTTTTTATCACCCTTGCCTCATACAACGTCTCTAAGCCTATTCTGATCACTCGGTTAGATTTTAAGGGGCTATTTTCCACACTCCCAGGGTCTTGGGCCCTCACACTAGCTGTGAACCCATAATGAATTCAAGGCTAGTGACCAAAATGGGGTTAGTCAGTATCGTCCGGCTCAGCCCTATCCCAGAACTAGTTTGGCGCCAATCCTTAGGCGCGAATTTAATCCATGAGAGTGACTGGCAAGGAACGACCATTATGGGCCCAGACGCCCAGTTACTCGTTGCTCCGCTATTCGCCGCTTATTCTTTTTCCTAATGCAGCAAGCGTCTTTCCATTTTTCTCATCTATCAATGTCGGCAAGGCTCTGGGCGTTATACGAGAAAACTACATGAGCCCCATGCATTTTACATGTTCCGACTTAACTATTACCTTATTATACAGACAATATATAAGCCATGAAACTGCTGGACGCGTTGCTTCTCCTGCCGACTATGTACATATTTGAGCTAGCTGCTTTAGACTCAATCATGACATGCCCACTTGCAAATTTGTGTATAGGATTCAGGGCACTTTGTGCAGCCCTTGACCGGTTCTTCAGTTTTTGCATGACTTACAGTTTTACTTTGGCCCCCATTAACCACCTGTTTGTGCATCTCCAGTCCCGATGCAGCAGCTTATTCATTGGACTTGCCAAGAATGCAGGATGCAACATTCCTTAGCTTCTTTTGGCCACGGAAAACCCGCTATCCTCTTTCTTCCTTTTCCCTTTTTCCTTCTTCGCAAAGTATGGAGTAATCTGACTGCCTATGGGCTATTCCATCTTACTTGGGTAAGCTCTCTGTATTACCCACAAACTGAGTAAGTTATATGTAGGAAAACCTTCTCTCGGTTCAGTGTCCTGTTTTCTTCTTGTTCTTTTTTTTTCTACTTTTATTTATTTTCCTCTTTTGCCCTTTTTTCTCTATTAATCTTGATCAAAGGACACAAAAATAAAATAATTATTCAATATGGATGTATTAACGAGACTGTAAAAAAGATTTTATGATCACGAAGCTTGTAGGTCAGTAGGAAAGGAATTGTATACTTAACCCAATGAAGGGATGAACTAAGAATAGAAGAACTTGACCAGTCGTATCAGGCACCCAAGATTCAATAACAAATGACTTCATGTCTTATTCCAGCGTTTTCCTACGCTACCTTCGGTGTTCTCAAACATATTTGTTATCTTTTACATAATTTATCACTAAGTTTAACAGGAACTACAATAAGAAGAAGATCAAGAGCAGTAGGGAGCAGCCGAAGGCAAGAGAGAGAGAGAGAAAGAAGAAAAAATGGAGGAAAGAAGCCGACGGACGTATAGATGTAAGCAGGTGAGAGTCCGACTGCTCTAACGGAAGAATGTTACACTTCCACCTCATTGGTTGCTTTTATCTGAGGTTAAGTAACTTGATGCAACATCAACAAATTTCCCACGACAACACACGAGCAGTCTCCAGCCACCTATCTCTCGAAGCATACCACGTCGCTGAGGGGAAGTCGGAATAAGAAGGCATTCGAAGAAGCCAATCATCATCTCGAGCCCGCCACTTTCCGACTCAAACCAATCCCCCTGGAGGCTTCAGAGCTGAGTCTAGACTAATTGAGTTACCCAAGTCCGATGCTTTGAGGATAAACATCATTCACACGTAAGATGTCCAGCTGAAAAGGAAACGGGATCTTCCGCAAAAGACTGCTCCATGTTTTGGGCTATTGTGGTCAACGTCAACCCGCGTCCCGAGGGGTAACAGTAGCAAACACGAAGAATAAGGTTCTTTCCAGCGAGTTAACTCCAGTTCCTGGCGTTCCAGACGTCCATTTCCATTGGTACTTCACGGCTAGAAAGACGGAGCAGAGCTCCGCATGATTGGAGCTCTAGATCTTCATTCCTGCCAATTGTCGTCCCGGTCCCGGTTTACCGCTGCCATCGCCAGACAGTTCCCATGTGGCATGGAAGTGCTATGAGAGAAAATATTAACACGTATTATATATTTTGAGTCAATATTTTTGAAGGTTCGGTGACAACATATAGACTTTTATTGACGCGGGACTTCAAGCAGCATTACGTATCTAGAGTGGATATACTCAGGAAAATACGAGATAAACTAGGAATAGTCTCAGCAATAAAGAACAGGTAAATATGCTTTGTAGTAGGAAAGTAAGAGGTCAAAGCAATAACTCTAAGTAAGCGGTTACATTAGACTCCTTCGTGTGGTCTAGTTAGACGGGCCCTATCGGAAATAATCCCCGCATTGTTGAATGCTACCCTATGAACTTTAACCCATCCTTGAACACCAGGGTCTTCTTGTTTGAAAGACGAAAAGAAAAATATAACAATTGGATCAATTCATTAAACTGATATAGAGAGAGGAATAACTAGTGTAGCATTAGTAGGTACTGCGTTGTCTACCTACCCGAGCCACGATCAGCTAAATCCGTCTGGTGGAATGTGGAGCTTTCTGGTGCTTGAACATGATTGTATGGAACCAAACTCTCGTTTCCAATTTTCAATTGGCCTCTTAAACAAAATCCGACACAGTGCAATCATTTCGTGGGGTATCGAAACTAAAATATATCCCTCATAGTCACCGTGACATCATGCTCTAGGAGATCAAATCGAACATAAAAGACCAGACGATGTCCGGCTGGGATCTAGAAATTCCTCTTTCGAAATTGCCCAAGAAATCCTACAAGAATAACCCTCTGATACAAACAAGCTCAAGGTCAATCCTCTCACATCAAAAATATTTTTCCCCCACCAGCATCCTTACCCTTATCTTTGCAGTGCAATATCTCAATGACTGTAACCAGTACTATTCTAAACCATGCTAACCACTTAATAGATTCACCAGAAGTTCGCAAACCAAGCAAAACAACGAAACAAAAAAAGAACAATGGCCCACCAAATCTCAGCACTTGCTAGGGGAGAGGAGCGTCTTGATCTCTTCATCCTCGGCCACGACAACGGCTGCTACCACAAGTACCGCAACAGCGAGAACTGGTCCGACTGGAAGAGCATCGGCAAGGGATTCAGCAGCATTATCTCTGCCGTCAGCTGGGGCAAGGACCGCTTGGATATCTTCTGCCTGGATACCACCAATACCTGCTACCACCGAGTCATGGAGAATGACAAGTGGGACAAGTGGGAGAATCTAGGCGGCAATTTCACCAGCTCGGTCAAGGCTATTAGCTGGGGTGAGAACCGTCTTGATATTCTTGCCCGTGGTCACGATAACTCGTGCCATCATCAATACTTCGACGGTAAGAGCTGGAGCGGATGGAAGTCCATCGGCGGATCCCTGAACAGTGGCGTTGAGGCCGTGAGCTGGGGCAGGGATCGTCTCGATGTGTTCGTACTATTCGCAGAAGACAATTCCTGTCGTCGGAAGCGGTATGATGGATCGAACTGGAGTGACTGGGAGAATCTGGGTGGGTCTCTGGTGAGCCCTATCCGGGCTATCAGCTGGGGTCGGGACCGCATCGATCTCTTCGCTCGAGGCCATGATAACGGCTTCTATCACCAGGGATACGATGGAAACAAGTGGACCGGATGGCAATCCCTTGGTGGCCAGATTTACAGTCACATCGAAGTGCTCAGCTGTGCTCCTAACCGCTTGGACGTGGTCGCCATCAACCGTGACAGGAAGTGCATTTATAGGTCCTTTGAGAACGGTAAGTGGAGCGACTGGAAGGTCCAGGGGGACATGACATTCTTCAGTGCGATTACTGGAGTGTCTTGCAGGGCTCGCGAGGGCCAGATTGATCTCTTTGGTGTCTCCACTCAGAATAACGCCGTTCAGCATAGAACTTGGGACGGCAACAACTGGAGAGACTGGAGGTCCCTGGAGGGAAATGTTACCTGCCAGCTGCGGGATTACTGATTTCGGCTTTACTATTTTACCACGAATAATTCCTCGGCGTTTGGGATTTGGGCTTCCGCGCGATTTTATTGATTCCAGATGAAACAGCAGACTGTCAGACAAATCAAAAGTTGCATTTATTGTTTTGATCTCGGTTGATATTGTATGCACCTGTTGTCCTGTGCTTCACAACAAGGACGTTGGACTCCAGTAACCTAAGTAGGGATTTAAGTAACAATCCTTATTGTCTTTCTTTGCCCTCATTTACCAAGGCCGTCCATCTCACTGCTCTCCTAGTGTTTAATCTTTTACATTTAGGTCATGAAAGGTGTCAGTGACTGGGTGATCAGATGTTTAGCACATTTACTACATTGAATTAAGTGACTATGGGAGAATCGTACTCGCTTGTAGGCTTGTAGACCGCTTTTTCTATCTAGAAAGATATGTTCAGTGCCGCGAAACACCTAGAAATCACAGCTAGTGGCCGTGCCTGTAACTGTACACCTTGATTCAAGCTTTCGGCATGTCAGGCAGGCCCGGGTAGCGATGAGACCGATCAGACCACCCTCCTTTCCAGCCATTAATGTCCGAATGATACTCCGTTCCCATATTATACAATGGAGTACATGACGCTAATTGATCAGCCCATGAAGGATATTGATGTCCGAAGAGGACAGCTGGGCATATTTGACGTTCGTTGCGCTCTGGACGGGATGTTTTCCGCCGGTAAATTCCGGCGGAATATGAAAGAGTGATTCTATTACAACGGGGACTACGCCAGGTCAAAAAGCCGGAGAAGAAGGCGAAATAGAAATAATAGTTGGCTATCGAGTTATCATTCAATTATAATTTCCTATTGCCCTCTATGGTGAAAAGGTCCCGTTTATTCAATGTTTTAGATGTCTGCGGCACGACAGTACCGTGATAATCGAGATATTAACGAAGCAGAGAGAATTTCTGATGATAAACCAATACCCCAATCCTCAGTCGTCTGAAAGTGTCATAGAAAAAAAAGACCGAAATAAGGTGAGAAGTAGCGGCAGGGTCGGAACAGTATCCTGGCTGGATCGCAGCTGGTCGGAAGCTACCGGAGGAAACTAGAAGCAGGGCTTTTAATTCAATGCTGGTTTTCGTGAGGAAGCCTGTTGCAAGGGGCGTTTTCAGGCTACGGGTGAGCCACGCTTAACGTAATCGGTAAGCGAGTCGGCCATCCCAACAAGAATTACCGCCTCTTTATTGGTGACCTCTCGCATTCAAGGTGGGAACAGGAACGTATACAGTTTGGCCGTAATGGGTCACCTGTCGCTGCGGTCTTATGCGTAAACGTATTAGACTGTAGCGTCAGAGAAAGCCCATCCGCGCTCCCTTGTAGGGAGGCAATGTGTCTGTATTGCAGTGGTTTCTATATACAGAGGGAAGGTGGGAGGGACAAAATCGAGTCTTGACTGCGTGAGAGATGACGAGCTACCACCAGAGGCAAATAACTGACTCTTGTGAGGCAGTTGTAGGAGGGAAGAAGCCCCCCTCCGAAATGTCGGTGTAGATGTCACGTGGGCAACGTGAGGTAACCCCAATAAAACTCCTCCCTTTAAAAATAAGACCATTCAAACATCCATATCACTATCAAAAATGCCTAAATCATCAAAAATCTCGGTGGAACAAGAGAGAAGACTCCCCTTAGCAGTTGATGCTATTCAGAATTGTCAAATCAAGTCAATTCGTGAAGCAGCGCGTGTTTTTCAAGTTCCTCGCTCAACACTTCAAGATCGCTTAAATGGTATTACTTTTCGAAAGGAAACACGCGCTAATTTGCATAAATTGACTTCGTTGGAGGAGGAATCACTTGTTAAATGGATTATCTCGTTAGATCAACGCGGCGCGCCGCCGAGACAGTTCCAGGTCCGTGATATGGCGTCAACCTTGATCCGAAAGCGTTCCCAAAATGCAACAGCCTTTGTCGGAGAGAAATGGGTATATAACTTCATTTCCCGGCATGATTCCTTGAAAAGTCAGTTTTCTCGTCAGATTAGCT